GGGTACTTTCTATTAAATCTATTTTATCGCAATACAAACGGCTAGCAATGTTCAAAACATTCTGCGCTTCATTTACTCCTTTTCCTGGAGTTAATTATACTACCCAACTACGTCGACTGCAAAGAATCACAGCCCTTGTCTCTCTTCTTCTTTTTTGTGTTTATTACTAATTTGTAACAGATCTAACCTTTGACCCCATAAATCATGATCTTACTGTGTTGCAAGTGCCGTAAAACTCTTACTTAAACTAAACTAAAACAGCATGACTACTCGTACTTTCCTAATCCATGGCACCTTTTAACTCTGAATAACATTATGTGTTAAAGTTTGACCCTGTGACTCAGGTGTTGTAAGTCTCTTTGTTAAGCTTTGGCCAATATTCAAAACATCTAAGAAAAAGACCGTCAGAAACGATGCCCCCCCCCCCCAACCACCCCCAAATGTAAATCTACTGGTCTTGACACATCTCACAGCTATGACGTATTTAGGGAGGGAAGCATAATTCTGTCTGTGATGAAATTATCTCTACGGAGTAGCCATATTGCTAAATATAATTTCCTTATGTGATTCTCTCACAGTCGATTCAACACGGTGTTTTTGCAACACTAAGGAACCAACACGTTATGGTAAAGCCCTTAAAAGGTGCTCATTCACTCCCAGGAAGATCTATTTATAAATCATTTTTACGTAACTGGTGAGAAGTATTTTCAACAACAACCTCATTCCAGCCCCACTGACAACATTTTTCTTAACTCCAATGCTATTTTTTAAAATCCCTGCTCCCTTTTGTTCCCTTTTCATTGTCCTTTTTTTTTTCAACAAAAAAGCTCATGTTTTCACTTTGGTGTGTCTTATCAGGAAATTGTCAATGACAGACAAGGGAGAGTAAAGAAAAGAGTGATGCGTTTTATCGAAGTGGAATTTTGTGACGCGATTTCATTCCACTTCGAAATCCACCCACGCTTACAAAAATGACTCTCAATGAAATGTCGAAGTAGAATGACACCGTAGTGCCAAGATACACATATTTGAATTTAACAAATTTGCACCGCAGTCAAGCAATTTTAGCAGACAGGTGAGGTCCAGAGGTATGACAAGAGTTATGAAGTCATAACATGAAAATGTTTGCGTCCCATACGATGTGCGCTAGTCATGTGGTGTGCAGAAGACACGACACGAATATTCTGCTTGCATGCCCTCGTATCAGTCGTTACTGAATTCAGAGTTGAATGACAACCGAGTCAAGGCTTTGACCAAGACAAAGTCGCGTCGTCTGCACACCTTTTCTTTTTTTTGGCAAGTTCATTAAAATCTGTTTTTGGCTCGCTGGTCTACACCGATCTTCTATTGCTGTCAAAACTCCACAGAAGACCTGGACAAGTTGGATACACGTGACAAATTCGACTTTTCTTTCTCTTGCAGTAGCATCGGCAATCTGAAAAGACAGATCGAAATAATCCCACCAAAATGGGCAATTAGAGAAATATTTGAATATGGTACAAAATGATAGCAAAACATGTCAGCTTTCTGGGTTACGTGAAAAAGTAATATTTAAGCGTCTTTTGCAGCCAGGCAAATAAAATAATTATATTATGAGCTCGGGAAGGAAAATGAGTACTCGTCAAGGTTGAGATTTCTGATCTACCAGTTTACGTAGTCGTCCACTGATTTTAAGTACACAAAACAGAAATACCAGGCGGTACCAGGACACTACTTACGATCAAATGCTCACTCTTTCATCTTATTCCCGCCTTATTGCTTTTTAAGAAAAATTTATCAAGTGGAGAAGAGGTAAAGGTGTCATAGTCTAATGAGATAACTCTTCCTTGCTGCACGCAGAAGAGGGAGTTCAATTTCCGTGAGAAGAAGTCATTTTACTGAACATCTGCGTCTGTCTACCGTTTGCAGCCCTAGTTGGTCCTGACAAGCAGGGTCAAAGTAGCTAGCTTCTTATATTATAGGAATTATACAATCATGTTTGTTATGTATTTGCCATTGAAATCCAAATTCCTTTACTGTGATAGGTAGACATTGTATTTCTATAGCCTGAAATGCCCCTGTTCGTTAATTCATGATACCGGGCCTCCTATATTAACGTCCATACACCTCACATTTTATTTTCAAATACTGAAGGGCTGTACGTCTTGGTAAAGCGCAATGAGTCTATCAATTGCCCCGAGACCAATCTGGGAGGGGGGGGGGGGAGGGCGGAGAAAGTGGGAGGGGGGGGGGGGGGGGGGGAGGGGGGAGAAAGAAGAAGGGATATTTGAAAGAAAACAAGAATGAAAGTGGTCTTAATTGGGTTTCGAGCTCCTTAAATAATTTGGACTGTCTGTGATTTGCTAATTCAATATTCATTGACTTACCTTTTCCTCCTCAGTTCAGGCTGGCAGCAACACAATAGCTTCGACTTCCCTTTTCAGGGTTGTTTTTTTGTTGTTGTTTTTTTTTGGGGGGGGGTCTTAATCTGTTGTTGTTTTAAACTAAAACAAAGCTTTTCAGCATACAAGTCTGGTGGTTTTTGTACCTAAGTGCGTTATAAACAGTTAGATTGTATTGTATAGTTTGCACTATCAGCAAGTCTTAAGGGGCAAACGTTAAAAGCTTACAGTAAATGGGTTAGTTCAGTTCCAAAGCAAACTGATTCTATAGAATTTGCATACACCTATATCACCATTAAAAGCAAACTGTTTCTTTTAACCATCCCTTCAATAATACGCAACGCCTTTAAGAAATAGGCAAACAAGTAAAGAAACAAATTGAAACTAACTACTCTGTATTCCTTTTTAAATCTATACTCATACTTGATATTTTTGTCCAAGAAGCCCACCCCCTCATTCATGTCTGCATAATTACTGAATTTACAATTGTAAACTTGCACACCCAATAACTTTTCTGCTTGTATTTTGCCAAAGGTCAAACTACATGTACATCTCATTATTAGTTGATTCCTGACCGATTGACAACCCGTATCTCTGGAGTGTTCGGTCATTATTGTTACAACATCTTCAAACACAATGGTCGACATAGTGATGTCGCTATGTCTCAAAAACTACTCTCGTATTCAGTATATAATAATTATATTGAAACATTGTATACTTTATCCCACAGATTGGATTTGGATATTTCTTTCCCCACCCTTATTCCCATTCAGAACTTTATCCTCCCAAAGAGCATTTTATTAATTATACATATTGATACTATATTGATGAAAGGATCCGAGATCTTAAATAATAGTATAGAAAAATGTCTCTTTATCCAATATCAATTGTCGAAACTCCAAGGCTATTTCATCATCATCATCATCATCATCATCATCATCATCATCATCATCATCATCATCATCATCATCATCATCATCATCATCATTATC